AGAACATTTTTTATTTTAATGATTTTATTTATTTGTGTTCCCTCTCTTGTTGTGTCTCACTCTCTGTCAAATAAATAAATAAAATCTTTAAAAAAAAAAAATAAAATGATCTCCAATTCCACAAATTCTGCTGACTCCCCAATTTACTTACTGCTCCTTAAGACATCCACATACAAACAATAATCAGATACAAGTTGTATCTATGAATAAAGGCGTAGTTAAGAATTCTGGCAGTCTTGGCAACTCTTAAAAGTTTAAAAAGAAATGCTAAAAGTAAATGCAATGGACTAACACCTTACGGATCCGAATACAGGCCAATCTATGGCCCTCTTTCCCCATCTCCACAGAATGGGGCAGTTGGTTAAAAATAATAATAATACAAAATAGAGAAGCAGCCCCAAGAGGCAAGTCATTACAAAAGCCCGGAGGCGCCCCGACGGAAGGACAGCTTTGGATCCCAGGTAACCCAGATGCAGGTGTGTGAATCCAGCCGCCGGTCCCGGTGGGCACCCAACGGCGGCGACCAGCAAGGATGACCCAACACTCCGGGCCCAGTCGAGCGCCGCGCCGGGAAGCGCAGGCACCGCGCTCTGGTTTCCTGGCACCAAACCTTGCTAAGTTAGCTACCTGTGTCTACGAGGGGGAAGTTCTGGAGGAGGGGCAGCAAGCCTCCGTGCCCAGAGCAGGCCGCCGGGCCGAGCAGGGCGGCGGGTCTCTCGGGAGCGGCGCCCGGAACTTCAAGGCTCGGGGGGACGTCCCTGGCCCGACCGGGAGGCGAACCCTTCTCAAGGGCAAGGGGGGGCCCGCCCTGGGCTCCGGTTCGGGCAAGCCAGGCTCCGGCTCGAACAAGGCGGGCCCCACCGCGGGCAGGGCCGGGGGAGGGGAACAAAGGGGCTAAGCGGGTTAGTCCGCAGCAGCCCGGCCGACCTCACCCGGAGCCGGGGTCTCGCTCCCCGCACGCCGCCGGGCATCCCGGGTCCCGGCCCCCAGGCCTGGCCCTTCCGACCGCCTAAGGCGCTTCCGCCTCCCCGTCCCTCAAGCTCTTACCGGGGCTTGTCGTCCCAAACCGCTCCGGTCCAGCTCCAAGCAGGCCGCGGGCAGAGCCAGGCCCGGCCGCGGCCCTCGAGTTACCAGGAAGCCGCAGGCCGCGCAGGTCGAGCCGGGCAAGCGGCACAGGAAAAGCCGCGCCTCGTCCCTCCCCTTCCTACGCGGGGACCCGGTGACAGGGAAGCGAGAGGTTCCCCCGACCGGCGGCAGCCAGCGCACGTCCGGTCCCCAGCACGCGGCTCCTCAGGCCCGCAGCTCAGAGGCCCGCGCGGTGCTGCCGGCGGCGGCGGCGGGGGGCGGCCGCGTCCATCGCGATCCCGGAGGGGGAAGGGAGGAGGGTCGGGCGAGAGGGGGGAGGGGAAGCTGCGGAGGACAGCCGAGCTCGGCGGAGGCGGAGCAAATCGACTCTCCCGGCAGCGACCCCACCGGCCGCCAGGTGGGGCGCTGCGGAGACCGGTCGGCCGGCGGCGCAGTAGCCCCAACCTGGGTAGCCGGGCGGCGGGACGCGTGGCCGCCACTACCAGGACGCTGTGGCCCTGCGGGCCTCGGACTCCCTAGTCAGCTGTCGCTTTTCTGTCGTACGCCCGCACACTGGTGCACGCACGCTCAGCCTGTTTTGCACCGTGCCTACACACTTGGCGTGCTCCTGCTGTTAGGCCCCCACGCTACACGTCATAGCTGTGGCCAACCTGTCCTTGCCGAACCCCAGCGGGCCGGGCAGCCCGTACTGCGCCGCGCGCTCCCCCCTCCCTGCGAGGCAGCCCTACTCGCGCACGGAAGTGCGTCCCGGGAGGAAAAGCACCTCCCTGGGGTCTTAGGAGGCAAACCGCCCGCAGTTCACCAGAAGGAAAACCTTTCACCACAACCCCGGGAAGTAAATATTTTCAAGCATTATCTCCATTGCACTGATGAGAGAACTGAGGCTCCAAAAAGCGTAAATTCAGGCCCAGTGGCGTCCCGGTAAGCAGCACCGCTGAGAGGGTGCTTTTGACTCTTTTTCTTGTGGGTTGTGGTCTCAAGTACCTCCGTGGTTATTCCCTTCAAACGTTTTGTGTTTCACACGCTTTGAGAATAAAATAGACCTGCTTATAAGACCTACTTGGAGATTCTTAGGATGTAGTTAATTGTAAATGTGAATATAGCTTTTTTTAAATAAAGAAATGAATCCCTTGGTTTGGGAGATAAGTAAACCCATACCTCAGACACTCTCACTGTACTCTCCCCTTTCCATCTTTTATAACAAAAATGAATATTACATAATAGTATTTGAGTTGTGTTCTTTTAAGCAATCTGCATATGCTTGAAGAACCAGTATTTTGGAAATTACAGATTTGCACTTCAAATATATATATGGGCACATATCCCACTGTCACAGGTCATGGTCCCTAGGTCTCCTGTTATCAGTTCAAATCAAGACAAAAGGGTAGAGGATTCTACTATCTTGTCACAACTACAACACATGACAATAATTGTTTGGGAGCTATGACTACGATGTGGAGCTGCCAATAAAATCTTCAAGGAGGAGGGTCTTTATGGACTGTGAAGAATGGGTGGGATATGGACAGTGCAAGGGAGGGCAAAGAATACAAGCAAAAGCCTGATATCTTCTGACAAAGGAAAGAGAAACTGTGCCCCAAGCAAAGAACCTGCATTAAGCAATGAAGGGGAGACAAGGTTGGGACTAAAGCATGCAGGGCCTTGCATGCCAACTGAAGAATTTTGGCTTAGATAAGTAACAAGTTTTGGATTAGAACACTGATGAGAAAAATCAGTCTTAGAAAGATTGACAGAATGGCTAAAAGGAGCTACCTAGACAAGACAATTAGCTGGGAGGTTGCTGAAATCCGCTAATGGTGGAGGAAGGAAGGGCCTAGTTATTGGCAATAAGAATGGAGAAGAGCTAAATCTAACAATGATTTTTTTTTTAAAGATTTTATTTATTTATTTGAGCGAGAGAGACTGAGAGAGAGAGAGCATGAGAGGGGGGAGGGTCGGGAGGGTCAGAGGGAGAAGCAGACTCCCTGCCGAGCAGGGAGCCCGATGCGGGACTCCATCCAGGGACTCCAGGATCATGACCTGAGCCGAAGGCAGTCGCTTAACCAACTGAGCCACCCAGGCGCCCAACAATTATTTTTTTAAAAAGATCAGAATTTAAATACTAACTTCAATTCTTTTTTATTCTTTATTTTTTTAAAAGATTTTTACTTATTTAAGATAGAGCGAGAGTGAACGAGAGAGCACGAGCAGGGGGAGCAGAGGAAGAGGGAGAAGCAGGCACCCCGCTGAGCAGAGAGCCCTGCGCACGGGACTCAATCCCAGGACCCTGGGACCATGACCTGAGCTGAAGGCAGACACTTAACTGAGCTGAGCAGAGAGCTCTGCGCGGGACTCAATCCCAATCATGACCTGAGCTGAAGGCAGACGCTTAACTGACTGAGCCACGCAGGGGCCGACAATTCTTATTTTTTAACCTGCAGAGAGGACTTGGAAGCTAGGAAAGTGATTATGCTATTAACAGAAAATAGAAAAGTTAGAAGAGACTACACTTAAGTAATTTTTTAAGGCATATTTTCCTTTATTCCCCCACCATCTTTATTCGCATCACCCCTTATATATCCCAAAATGAATGACTGTAGTATGCTTTAAAGAAACCTTATCCAAAAAGTGCTATGACTTTTATTGTGATTTCAGTATGTTATTTTAAATTAAAATATGAAATTCCAGAACAAGAGCATTCAAGTAAAAGAATAAAGCCCTGACAAAGCAGAAGATCTTGTGAAAGCAACTGACTATACCTGAATATATATCCCAAGCAACCAGGATATGTTTACATGTTAGTATTTCACCTCCATGTCAAAATATAGTAATAGTGGCCATTGAGGGGCGCTTGGGTGGCTCAGTCAGTTAAGTGACTGACTTCAGCACAGGTGATTTCGGGGTCCTTGGATCAAGTCTTGCAGAGCAGATGCTGCTAGGCAGGGAGTCTGCTTGAGGATTCTCTCTCTCCCTCTCCTTTTGCCCCTCCCCAGGCTCATGTTCTTTCTCTCTCTCAAATAAATAAATCAATCTTAAAAAAAAGAAGAAGAAGAATGGCCATTGGGAATTGCTATGTACCAGACACAGTATAAGGCAGTGGGTCACAGACTTCATCTTCAATAAACTATATAAAAGTCTAGGAGAAGGTAGATGTGAACACACTTCGCTTGTCTTCCTCCATGATAATACTTATCACAGAAATATTGTCAACTACACTGAGAACATCAAGGAGGTAATGGCATGTCAGAAGCCTTCAAAAATGATGTGTGGGGGCCTGGGTGGCTCAGTCGTTAAGCGTCTGCCTTCGGCTCAGGTCATGATCCCAGGGTTCTGGGATCGAGCCCTGCATCGGGCTCCCTGCTCAACGGGAAGCCTGCTTCTCCCTTCCCACTCCCTCCTGCTTGTGTTCCCTCTCTTGTTGTGTCTCACTCTCTGTCAAATAAATAAATAAAATCTTTAAAAACAAAAAATGATGTGTGAACTACATCTCAAATGTTCAGTTGGAGCTGGCCAGACATTAGGAAGACCAGGTGGAGAGGCACAGAAGTGTGAAGAGGGCTCCTTTTTTGGGAAACAGGGAAGAGGTCACTGTTTGGGCATAGGCCCCACTTTTATGAAGTATCTTCAATATATACACAGTTAACTGGGATTGATTCACAGGTTCAGAAAGAAAGATAGCATTCAAATGTAAACTCTTATCCCACTGGCTGACATTACTATGAATTAATTTTTAAAATAAATCCTATCTTGGGGTGCCTGGGTGGCTCAGTCATTAGGCATCTGCCTTCAGCTCAGGTCATGATCCCAGGGTCCTGGGATCGAGCCCCGCATCGGGCTCCCTGCTCCACGGGAAGCCTGCTTCTCCCTCTCCCACTCCCCCTGCTTGTGTTCCTGCTCTTGCTATCTCTCTCTCTGTCAAATAAATAAATAAAATCTTTAAAAAAAAAAAAAATCTTGTGAATAACACAGTTACATGGCATCACGTTTTTTATGTATTAAAAGCATCATTAGATATAAACATTTCAAACATGCTACAAAAAAATGGGTATTTCTTCAACTTTTATTTTTTGGTTTTTTTTTTTTTAAACAGATTCTTTTTTTTTTTAAGATTTTATTTATTTATTTGAGAGAGAGAGAATGAGAGAGAACACATGAGAGGGGGGAGGGTCAGAGGGAGAAGCAGACTCCCCGCCAAGCAGGGAGCCTGATGTGGGACTCGATCCAGGGACTCCAGGATCATGACCTGAGCTGAAGGCAGTCGCTTAACCAACTGAGCCACCCAGGCGCCCTATTTCTTCAACTTTTAACTGGAAATGGGACTTTCTCTGGCTTCTCTCAACTTCTGAGAAGCTGTAACTATGAAAGAGTGTGGCCATTTTGGAACAGTAGGAAATGAAATTTGGCTGGAACCTCGGGTAGAGTTAGTGGCTGGAAGAGAACATTGAGGTTAATTGGAATTAGTTTGCTAACAGTCTTGAACACCATGCTAAGGAGTCTGAAGTTTGTTCTTTGGGCAATGGGGAGGCTTTGGATGTTGTAAACAAAGGAGCACTGTGATATGATGCAGGGGTTAGGATTATTAGCCATCTTCAAGTTAAAAGTGATTTCTATAAGGGTGCCTGGCTGTTTCAGCCAGTAGAGCATGTGACTTTTGATACTCGGGTTGTGAGTTCAAGCCCCATGTTGGACATAGAGCTTACTTTAAAAAATTAAAAAACCATAAAATTGATTTCTATAAAGATTTACAGTTAGCAAGAGACTTTAACAAAAATTATTTATCCTCCTGTATTATTTAATATATATGAAAAATGAGCTGTGTTATCATAAGCATTATTTTACATAAGAGAAAAATCTCAGACAAGTTAGGTGACTTGCTCCTGCTCTCACAGCTAGTAAAGGACAGGTCTAATTCTCAAACCTGGTCCTTCAACTCTTGGGCTCTTAGAGTCTGAAGGAATATTCAAGATAACCTGGGCTGCCTGACTAGCTCAGTAGGGGAAGCATGCAACTCTTGATCTCAGGGTTGTGAGTTCAAGCCCCACATTGAGTGTAGAGATTACTTAAATAAATAAAGAAACTAAAAAAAAAAAAAGAGAGAGAGAGAGAGATAACCTATTTTACCGTCCTTCATGTTGAAAACAAAACAAAACAAAGACAAAAACAAAAAAACAGTGTAGTCATCTGTCTGTGCCACCCCTGA